GGAGAAAATTGATCGACAACTCTACTGATTGATTCAGTTTCCACTCTCCAAACATTGTGATAACCATTGGTCGACACTCCCATCCAAGCCCACGGTATTTTGAGTCAATTTTCGTGTCTCTAGATGTCTGGCACAAACGACCCGTGGAAGAAAATTCCATTTGATTTACGGGATCGAACAGCGACCCGGGTACTGGACGCAAACGACCCGCAGATCCTGGTCGAGTGGAAGCCTGGCAACCAGCAATGGTCTTCCCTCCGCCGCGTTCGCGTTCAAGACGATGGGCGCGTGTTCTGGCGGAACAATCAGCGACCAACGGGTTTGCTAGTGGAGCGAGCTCCAGTTCAGTCTCTTAGCAGCTTTACCCAAGGCATGGAGGACCTCACGATAGACATTCAAGCAGCCATCCCGCACACTAGCCTCATCCAGAACATGGACGCTCTCAATATAGACTCACCGCCAAGCTACGGTTTGCTTTCAAACTCTATTTCTGTCAATGCTAATCTTTCTAATGTTGATTTTAACGGTGCTTCTCCTTCTGTTGATTTTAACGGTGCTTCTCCTTCTGTTGATTTTAACGGTGCTTCTCCTTCTGCTAGAGACCTCCGCGTGGGGTGCCCTGTCTGTCTGTTGCAGGTAGGAGTTTGTGCTTCGGGGTTGGTCAAGTCCCACAAGCATCAGGGTTCGAAGTGCGATGGCTCCGGTCACAGACCCCGGAATCTTGCCACCAAACTGCCCCTTCCTTCCTTGGCAGACAGAAGTTTTCGATCCCAACTAGAAAGCACGTTCCTGTCAGCTGTCGCAACCTGTGGGCCAGAGTAGTCTCTTCGACTTACGCAAAAGTGAAGAACAATCCTTCGGTTACCGACAACTGGATTGAGTTGTTTATCCTCAGCCAGTGTGTTTTGCGTTCTCCTCCCCGTGGCGGGTCTAAGCATCTGCGATACGAAGAAAACAATGTTCAGTCCAGGTTGAACAGGTGGCTTAACGGCGAAGCTACCCAGTTATGGTTTGAAGCCACTTCTTCAAGCCTCTCGTCATTAAGCCCCTCCCATCCGAAGAAGTTGATGTTAAATTTGGCAACGCTAGGCAACTTGGAAGTTACCGTAAAGCCATTGCCGCGCTCTGCCCAGAGAGTTTGTGCTTTGATGACGCGGCTTTATCGGTCCTGCAAGAAAAACATCCTCCTGCTGTCACTGTCGTGCTGTCTCCCGAACCTCCTCCAGATCTTAACCCGTGCAGCATTTCCCGTGACATATTGATCAACTGTGTTAAGAGTTTTCCAAAAGACTCTGCTGCAGCAGTCTCCAAATTTTATGCCACACACTTGTCTATTGCTTTTCTTTGCCCTTCACCCGCTTACGGCGATCAGGCCATCTCCGCCGTTGTCAATCTTCTTGCTCGTGGTGAGGCTCCTACCTCCATTGCTTCTTACTTATGCGGAGCCAGTCTTCACGCGCTGAAGAAAAAAGATGGTAGCAGAAGACCCATAGCAGTTGGTGAGATCTTGCGCAGACTTGTTGCCAAATGCCTTTGTCGTCTTTCTAGCCAGAAAGCCGACTCTTTGCTCGTTCCTCTTCAGGTCGGAGCGGGCGTTCCTGGTGGCTGTGAAGCCGCTTTTCACGCGCCGAACGGGCTCGTTCCTTCCGTGGGTGACACTACTTCTTTGGCTATTCTCCAGGTCGATCTGAAAAACGCCTTTAATACCCTCGACCGGTCCTCTATTCTTCGGCAGGTTGCCGACCAGTTTCCAGAGCTTCTCCGGTGGGTCGAGTTCTGCTACAGCCAACCATCCTGGCTGAAATTTGGTAATTCCCTTGTGCTAACCGCGTGTGGCGTCCAGCAAGGTGACCCACTGGCTCCACTCTTGTCTGCCATTACTATTCATCCCATCATTGTAGCTTTTAAGAACCAATTTCCTGATCGCGCCTGTAACGTCTGGTACCTTGACGATGGTTCCCTTGTCGGCGATGTTAATCTTCTCGCTCAGGTTTTTCCACATTTGGTTTCGTCTATGGCTAAAGTCGGCTTGGAGGTCAGCGTTGAGAAGTGTGAAGCTTGGTCTCCCAACCCCAACCTGGATTTTAGTGCTCTTCCTAATGCCATTACCGTTCGGAGCAGTGATTTGAAGAACGTGGGCGCTGCCATTTCGACTATTGACGACTTTATCCAAGCCCTGTTCCTGAAAAGAGTAGGAAAGTGCGAAAACCTTATGGAATCCATCCGTCTCTTGGAAGATCCTCAGTTGGAATTACATCTTTTGAGAAGCTGCGCAGCTCTTCCCAAAATCACATTCAGCATGAGGACTTGCGATCCCTTCTCCATTAGCACCTGTCTAGATCAGTTTGACAATGCCGTTCACTTATGTCTGGAGTCCATTACTGGTTCAGCCCTGTCGCCGCCTCAACGCCTGCTGTGTTCACTGCCTGTGGCTAAAGGTGGCCTTCTTCCAATTTCTTCTTCGATCGCCCCAATGGCCTTCCTCGGGTGCTACATTGACACCAAATATCTCTCTGACCGGATCTTTCACAACACCACGGTGCCCTCCACCGTGTTGAATTGTTCGTCCTCTCTCGAGTTTCTCAGTGACAACGCTGACATTCTTTTAATGGCCCCCAAAGCACAAATGAAAATTACAAGCCTGCTTGATTCCATGTCTTGGTCCGAGCTCACGACATCCGCCTCTACGGCCCGAGACAGAGCCAGACAGCTCTCCTGTTCGCTCCCCAACAGAGGTGACTGGCTTTCGGCAGTCCCTCTGAAGGCGCTAGGGTTAACCCTTCCTGCAGCCGAGTTTCGGTTTGCAGTTTGCTATCGTCTCGGAGTTCCCCTACTCAACAGCGAGTCTACGTGCCCGAAATGTTCCAGCTCTCTCCCCCGTTTTAGAAAAAGCCAATCTCACCTCTTCTCGCTATCGCCCGGGAGACATTTATCTCCCCTGTTGGTTCCGAGGTCGTCCAGCCGCTCTGGACATGACCGTCATTAGTTCCCTGCAGTCATCTACTTTGCCAAGTGCTGGAACTAGTGCCGGTCACGCCCTCGAAGTATCAGACGAGCGAAAGTTCACAGAGCACCTTTCCGCGTGCGAAGAAGCTGGCATCTCGTTTGTGCCCCTCTCTGTCGAGGCCCTTGGCGGGTGGTTGCCCATTGCCGCTAAAACCATTCGTCGCATTGCTTCGATGGCAGCAGCGCGCTCTGCCTGTGCCGACCCCGGGCAAGCTGCTTGCTATCTTATGCAACAGCTGTCAGTTGTCCTGCAAAAAGGGAACTCCACCCTCCTCCTGTCCCGGTACTGCTCATTAGTGTTTTTTCTGTTCTATGCAAATCTGGTAACGTTTTTCTGTGTATCTAGCGTCATTGAAATTTGTTTCTGTTATTTTGTATGTATGGCATTTTATAAGCCCGCGGGTAAACGCCAAGCTCCTGAATTTACTGAACATTTTTTCATTTACAACTTTTATTGCATAAAAAATTCCGTAATGTGACAACTAAATCGACAAAACGTAATCAGAAAATCAAATTTTTTAAAACGGAAGTTTTTCAGTTACTTCGGTACTTTTACGCCCGCGTTCTCTACTGACTGCTAGGCCACGTTTGCCGAAGTTGCCGAGAAATTTAAATACATTGCCAAACAATCAATTGATTTCGCTAAACAAGTTAACCTGAGATGTCTATATTCTGATTCGATAACATTAGTTTATTACACAAGGCTCCAATCATTGTTTTCTTGTGGTAAAAAGGGAAATAAAAACTCATTTAAAGAAAAACGTTCCAAAATCGAACATTTCAAAATCGAGTTTTTGTTCCACGAAAAGCGTCAGCAAAAAACTTTTGCAACTCAACTGCCGTCAAGGGAAAATTAACATTGCAGGGGACAATTCTCAGCCGACAAAAAAAACAATAAGCTGACAACCAAATTTTTCCAAGCAGAAAAATTTCAATAGAAAAAATCTTACAGCTATTGGCAGGACTCGCATCAGGGATCTTTGTCCTCCCAGGCATGTATTTTTCCTCTACGCCAAACGGACAAAGTTAGCAGTTGGAAATCCTGAGATGCTAAACACAGCCCACAGACAGAAAAGGCCAAAGAACACATAGAAAACGAAAAAAAAAGAATGACTTGTTTTGTGAAAAAAGCAGTTTTCGCAATTCAAGAAAAATCGGGACTTAAAGCTCTTTGCAATTCAAAATTTTTTTTGATTATGTTGCTCTATCCAGGTTTTATTGATTAATAAAACCTGGATGGATCAATAGATAAAATTTTTTTTGTTCCGCCGAGAAATTTGAAAATTAAAATCCGCTTTCGAAATTACCTTCCTTTCAAAAAATGAGCTTGAGTAGAAAAAACATCAGAAGTCAAACAGCAGTAACCAAACTTGTCGCGAACAATTTTCCACCTTTTTCTTTGAAAATCAGCAAACAATAACAAGGATAGCCGGTTACTGTACACAGGATGTTCCGACCATGGTCTTAAGAAAACTTCGGTGAAGAAAATTTTTTTTCCAAATTAGTGTAGTTTTTTCTGCTTGGTGTGATAAAAAGATCAGACGTAAAAATAGAATGAAGGCATATTAGACATACATAATAATATAGGCAAACTGAAAAAAAACGTAGACAAATGTAGCTAAAAAAACTAGTTTTACTTGCTTTAAATTAAGATTTAAGGTCTTAAATAAGGCATAACTCAGCTGTTGTAAGCCTGCTCGCTCGCTTTATTCGCTAGAATTAAGATGAAAAATCAAAAATTTCAAACTGGCTTTTCTCAACACTCGGAGATTTTTTTGGAAATTCCTTAGTGTGGTTCAAATCGCGACTGAACGGGCTGTAATATCATATCACTCAACCCACTCCAATGATTATTTGTGGTACCTGATTTTGCGTTTCAAATGGTCGGAACAAAAAGAATAACTGCTGACTGCAAGGAAGACACAGTCATGGGGAAACAATCTGGTGAGTAATTAAGTGTAATGAATATGTTACGTCATCGCAACTAGACCTACTGTGAGTGCAAATTCCTGCGCCATTCAGCAAAAAATAAAATTCATTGCATCTAAAAAAACTACTCGATCCAAATCAGATTGAATCGCTTTTTCCCCAGTTTTTCTCAGAGCCCATTTCATGATTTAAAACTTTTTGATTATATTTTTGAACTATAAACAATATGCATCAAGTCAAATACGTTTCACTTTTCTAACATTTGCTTGGAGTTTCATAATGATATTAAAAGTCTCTGGAAAATGGATGAATCGAACTTTGTTCCGTCTGATAACTATTCTTTCTGCAGAGTACTTTGGATTTCTTCCGTTTACTGGATAAATCACAGCGGTGACAAGCGTTAAGTCCATCGTTTTTGAGACGTGTTCCACTGTTCCTTTAATTTTGGTTTCGTTTATCAGCTCCACAGTAGTGATACAATCTTCTAATTCCTTGAGAACACTGAATAAAGTATTCAAAAACGGTTTTTTAAAACTTTTTGCTTGATTTAGATTATCGACTCCATCGTCACTCTCCGACATTTCAGTTAACTGAATTGTGTTCAAATACCATTAAAAATCGACATACTGCTCTGACTTCAATTTATTTAAAACGTTTCTCTTCTAAAGGTTTATCGATGAAAACAAAACATAAAACACAAATTTCTCCATGGGAGCAATCAATCAAGTTATTATACAGTTGTAACCCTAATATCAAGTCTCTACAGGCAATATACTTAGAGTTCGAAAAGGCTTTCGACAAAGTTCCTCACGACTTGTGCATATATAAACTCAATAAATTTGGCATATCAGGAAACGCACTTAAACTATTAGCAAACTACTTAACCAACAGAAAACAGCAAGTACGAGTAGGTGCGGCAGTATCCAGCCATCTTGAAGTTAGTAGCGGCGTACCTCAAGGCTCACTGTTAGGGCCAGTATTCTTCATTACATTCATCAACGATTTACCGTCATCACTCACCAACTCGTGCTATGGTTACGCAGACGATTATAAAATTGTTGCAACGAACCCTTCCCTGCTCCAACATGACCTAATCACGATCAACTTATGGTGCAAAGATAATTCCATGAGTCTTAATTTGAAAAAATGTCGCAATATAATATTCAAAGACCCCCAACTTGACCTACACATGTATCTCGGTGACCATATACTTGAAAAAACCTGTTCAGAAAAAGACCTTGGTATACAAATAACCAACAACCTAAACTGGTCAGCACACGCAAAAATAAGAGCCCAAAAAGCAATAGGCTGCTTATTTTTAATTAAAAGAAATATTTCAAAATCAGCGAGCTTAAAAATGAAACTGAACTCCTACTGTGGATATGTAACCCCAATTGTGTCATATGGCTCACCCATATGGAAAGCAAATAAGTGTGAATTAAAAATTATTGAAGATGTCCAAAGAAAAGCTACACGTTGGATACTGTCATGTAACAACATCAACTATAAAGACAGACTGATTAGATTAAACCTGCTTCCACTGTCTCTCTACCACGAAATGCACGACATTCTCTTGCTTCATAAAATAATAAACGACCAATACAACTTCCATTGGAGACAATTTGTTCAGTTCAAAGAATCTACAGCCCCAACAAGAAGATCAACGAAAAATAACTTAGCGCATAAAAATTATCATTACGAAAAATCGAAAAGCAATTTCTGGCACAGAACACCTATAGTAGCAAACAAAATTTTACAGACTCAGGAAGAAGAAGACCTGTTTGCGATGAAATACGAAAGACTCAAATCAAGCCTCAAAAACGTTTTCTGGATATATTTCATCAGTAAATATGAGGAAAGTGTCCCATGCACATGGAGAATAAACTGCTGCAATAGCTGTGTAAACTCAAAGAAACTATAAAACTCAGTTTAAAACTCCCAACGCGGGGCATTTTAGCCCCATGGCTTTATGTCTAAATCCTTCTTTATTATTATTATTATAAAACCATTCGCAAAAATCGAATTTAGAAAAATGTGTTGATAGTTATGCACAAGTGAAGTCCACTGATTCTCTCGCAGACACCGCTATATTTTCCAGTAATTCCAATTTTATTCGAATGACGGAAAAGAGAGTTCGATCAAAAGTTGACTGTTTTGCGTCTGGACATGATTTGGTCGCCTCCAGCTGCATTGAATCAATACGACTTTTCAATGCGTCCACAAATTGGTTTCGCTCAAAATTTTTCAATCTAATCTTTTCAAGCTTATCTTTCAATTCTTTGTTATTTTCGCGTATCTGGGTCTCTTGATTATTCTTTTGAAAAACTCGGAAAACTCTTCGAAACGAAAACCTATTTTTTGATTTCATTTTTCGTTGAACTTTTCTCCTGGAACAAGAGCGCTTTTCAGTTGCTATCATTATTCTGAAACATGAAAAGTCAAACTAGGTTAATTTAAAACTGTTGATGACAGAACTGCTCCAACAAAATCTTCCAGCAAAGCTCCTCCAATAAAATTTCGTTACTGAGTTGCAATTTTAGAAGTCATTCTGGTCCAACGGGGCATACTCCTACGAGAGCCAGTCGAACCCATCGACGAGAATAAAACGCACGTTAATGACGTTAAAGACGAATTCGTGATGAAAAGGAGGGTCAGAATGTTCTGGAATTATCAAATTTCGATTGTCGACAATTATTTCCCGCAAATGTAGAAAACAGCGAGCGAAAACAATGTGCCAGTCGGTGATATTTGGAAGTTTGACCTTGAGCAACGTTTGGTTTCGATTTTGGGGTGAAATGCAATTTTTCAAAAATTCGAATTGAGCCTGTCATGCTTAAGTTTCTCGCGACAACTCAAAATACACGAAAATAAGATCAGAAGAATCGAACTAAAATCGCGGGAAAGAAGTCCAAAAAAAGGAGCGTGAAATTGCTATTCGCAATTTCGCCATATAAATTGAACGAGAGTAGAGCTGTTGTGACATTCGACCAGAACGGACAAAACTGCAGATTGGATGGATTCAAAATTTTAGCAGCTAACCTTCCGAATTGACGGTTTTAAGAGATTAACAACGTTATTGGGACGATTAGTCAAACGGTGAAGGCCAAGATATTCTGGTATTTTGTAATTTTAAAAATTCGAATTGATGACGTAATAATTCTGAGAAGCGTCAAAAACGGCCATTTTGGAAGAAAACCAGAATAAAATCAGAACAACAATAGTTGCGATAGCGATAACGACGAGAATTGTGATTGAAAAACAACAACAAATTGCCGAGTTAGCAGAGACCGCTCCGAGTTGCAACTATTGTGTCGCTACAATAGTTGCAAGGCCGTTCACAACAACGGTGAAGGGCAGAAGACAGCCTTCCGGAAGGAAGATAAGGACGTTATTTCCCCGGATTCAGGAATCCAGAGGGGTCTCGGGAATTGAACTGAAACTCTTTTATTTAAGCTTTAGCTTCCCGGTCATATCTTGAATTGAATTTAATTAACATTTGAATTCATTTTGCAAGGATGAGAAGCTAGGAGTTGGGGGAGAGGGTTGATCCATCTTCGATGGAGATGATGATTTTTATCTACTGAACAAAAACAATCGTAATATAATAAGTAGTAGTAGCCCTGTTTTTAGGAGTGACCTCGTGGTCTGGGGATACTGAGACCCAGCCATGAGCTCACTAATTTTGCATGTAGTTAAGTTAATTTGAGTGTTTTGACCGAAGCCGAAAGCAGTAAAGTTTTTGTCGACCCGATGTTAGAAAGACCACCAAAAGAACTGGCTTTGGTAGAGACGGTGAAAAGCATATAAAGCTCTATTCAGACGCTGGTCAGTCGTCTTCGGACCTAGCTCTATTTTCCGTCGTTATGTACTTCCGGGCGAATGTTATATAGATGTTTTTATGGCGCTCCTGGGTGTTATTCTTTTTTAACATCATGACCGGCAGAACCGTTAACGAGCACTCCGCGCCGAGCGGATGCTCACATTAACGCCCTTAATAGGCCAAAACCGCCGGGGTGGAAGAGTAGTTCGGAATGCGGAAGCCTTCCGAATTACCGTGAATAGCTTTTTAACCTAGTTAAGACCGAAAATTCACGAACCAGGAAGGGTGCGGGGATCGGCCATCCCCTCGTTCCCTGAGAAGTTTGTGACCAAAAACACGTAAAGATATTTATAAAACCAAACAAATAGTAGTATAGTACCCAAGAAAAACAAAAAACATAAAAAATAACCGAAAAAACCAAAAACAGTAAAAAAGTAAAAAATCAGGAGAAATCATCCCCCCAGACAAGATTTGATTTGACCCTCCCGTTTGTTGTTCTTTTGAAAAACTCGGAAAACTCTTCGAAAAGTAAACCTGTTTTTGATTTCATTTTTCGTTGAACTTTTCTCCAGGAACAAGAGCGCTTCTCAGTTGCTATCATTATTCTGGAACATAAAAAGTCAAACTGGGTTAATTTAAAACTGTTGATGACAGAACTGCTCCAACAAAATCTTCCAGCAAAGCTCCTCCAATAAAATTTCAGTACTGAGTTGCAATTTTAGAAGTCATTCTGGTCCAACGGGGCATACTCCCACGAGAGCCAGTCAAACCCATCGACGAGAATAAAACGCACGTTAATGACGTTAAAGACGAATTCGTGATGAAAAGGAGGGTCAGAATGTTCTGGAATTATCAAATTTCGATTGTCGACAATTATTTCCCGCAAATGTAGAAAACAGCGAGCGAGAACATTGTGCCAGTCGGTGATATTTGGAAGTTTGACCTTGAGCAACGTTTGGTTTTGATTTTGGTGTGAAATGCAATTTTTCAAAAATTCGAATTGAGCCTGTCATGTTTAAGTTTCTCGCGACAACTCAAAATACACGAAAATCAGATCAGAAGAATCGAACTATAATCGCGGGAAAGACGTCCAAAAAAAAGGAGCGTGAATTTGCTGTTCGCAAGTTTGCCATATAAATTGAACGAGAGTAGAGCTGTTGTGACATTCGACCAGAATGGACAAAACTGCAGATTGGATGGATTCAAAATTTTAGCAGCTAACCTTCCGAATTGACGGTTTTAAGAGATTAACAACATTATTGGGACAATTAGTCAAACGGTGAAGGCCAAGATATTCTGGTATTTTGTAAATTTAAAAATTCGAAT